CAAGTGTCTTCATGGCTGCTGGGTGCTATGTTATTATTAAGGCTTTTTTAGAGCATTTCTTTCACTATCAGGAACAACTTACAAGCCGAGCAGTGGGAAGCAGTGACAGACTGTGAGTTCAAGGCCAGCCTGGTCTACATAGTTAAGTTCTAGGACAGCCAGAGCTAAATAGTGAGAGCCTGGGGGTGGGGGTGGGGGTGATAATGCTTTTATGGTTTTTTTTCTCAGTACTAGGAATTAAACCTAGGTTCCCAAGATGCTAGGCAAGCACTGTAGCTCTGATCTACATCCCCGGCCCCTTTCAGTTTTAAAGCTGTTTTTATTTTGACACAAGGTCTCAACAAGTTACCCAGGTGGCCTTGGACCCACTGTGTAGCCCAGGCAGACCTTGAATTTATGATCCACTGTTTTAGCCTCCTGAGAATCTGGCATTACAGTCCTGCATGCCAGCTACCAGACATTTTCATGAATATACACAATGCATTTTGATCGTCTGTACACACACCTAATGCTAACATTCTTTCCGCTCCTTCTTCTCTAAGCTTACCTGAGCCTTGTAGAGGGCAATATTATATAGATGCCTCATTGCTGAATCCAACAGCCACTTCCTCACAGCACTTTGACCACTGTGAGTCTCTGCAGTTAACTACTAACCTCTGCAAAAAGAAGCCTCTCTGACCAGGCCTGGGAGGGGGTGCAATCTGTGGACATGAATATATATTTATATATATATAAGGCAGTTGGATGAGCACACCACGTCTGCTCAGCAGAACAGCCGCGGCAGCCTCCACCTAGGCCTGTAACCTCTGCAGCTGTGGCCTGTGACCAGGTTTACAATCCCAGATGTGAATTCCTGCTTATGGAATGGGCTGCAGATCCAATTAGCAAGTGGCTGGTTGCCCTTGTAATGAGTTATACTATTGCATAAGACAGCACATTTTGCCTGGTGGTTGGTATTGTTGTATTTCTCTATGTCCTACAGCCATGACATATAGCATCTTTGGTAATAGGATCTTATCATCTAGTTCTGGTGGACATCCAAGGACAGTGGCAATTGTTGGTATTGGGGGTGGGGCTTGAAAATTTTAAACATGTATACAATGAAGTATGATTATTTCCCCCTCCAAAACATTAAACCCTCAACTTTTTGGTTTTTTTGAGTCAGAGTATCTCTGTGTAGCCCTGGCAGTCCGGGAATTTACTCTGTAGACCAGGCTGACCTTGAACTCAGAGGTTCACCTGCCTCTGCCTGATAAGTGCTGGGATTACAGGTATGCACCACCATGCCCAACTCAACTTTTTTTTCCAGACATGGTCTCACTGTGTGGTCTCGATTAGTCTAGAACTTACTATGCAGATAAGAGTGGCCTTAGGCTCACAGAGATTTGCCTGCCTGTGCCTCCAGAGTACTAAGATTAAAGGTGTGTGCCACACCACCTTCTCCTGTTCTTGCCATTCTTTTATTTTTATAGCTCTCTAAGAACAGTTAATGCTGCCCATATATGGAGGGGATGTGTGTGGGACCATCCATTAGAACAGGGGAATCCTACCAGTGGCCACATGTTCGGAAAATAATTACTTCCCTCCATCCCCAGAGCAATTACCAACTGTCCTCAGCACCTCAGTAGGGTGGGAAGATCACCTACCCCGTCCCTACCATAATTCTGTGTGGCTGGATCTTGTTGAGGTCTCGTGCAGATAATGAATTCATGAGTCTAATAGCCACATCATGTTCAGAAGACAGCATTCACATCACTCCTCTCTGTCCTCTGGTGCTCACATTGTTTCTGCTTCCTCTCCCCAGACATTCCCAAGCCTTGGGGTAGTGTTTGGTGGAGTTCATATATTTTTTTATTCGTTTGTCAAGTATTGGATTTTCTTGGCTTTTTTATACATCATTGGGATTGGTTTAACCTCTCCCACTCCTTCCTGCCCCCAATTCCCTGCACTCTCCCCACTTAGACCTCCAGTATTTATTCCCCCTCCACTCTCATATCACTAGCATTCTGCTGCCCTCCCCAACTTAAATAATTCCCCCTTTGACTTACTTACCCCCTTTCTAGTTTCCAGATACCTTCTCACTCCCACATAAATGCACACATATAGAAATTAACAGCTAAAAAATTACATTTAAAAGAGAACATGTGTTTGTCTTCTTGAGCCTGAGTTCTTCCCTTAATATAGTATTGTCTAGTCCCATCCTTTTCCTGCACATTTTCTTTATGTTTGAACAAAATTACATTGTGTATATGTACCACATTTTCATTATCCTTCATAAGCTGGTGGACATCAAGACTGGTCCCATTTCCTTGACGTTGTGACTAGAGCAGCAGTGAGCATAGACCCTGACAGGCTGATCTATAATGAATGAAGAGCTACATCTGGGGCTGGAGAGAAGATGGTTGAGTGGAAAAGAGCACTGACTGCCTTTCTAGAAGACTCAGGTTCAGTTCCCAGAACCTACTTGGCAGCACACAAGCATCTGTAACTCCAGTTCTAGGGGGTGTCATGCCTTCTTCTGGCCTCTGTGGGCACCAGGAACACATGTGGTCTACCAACGCATGCATGCAGAACACCCCTATACATAAAAGAGAGAGCTGTCTGAAGGTAGCCTTACACATGTTAATGTGCAAGAAATAAGTAATGGTAATATAGACCAATTTGGCTTTCCCGTGAAGTGTTTCTCTAAAATGTCACCTAAGCGAGGTGCAAAGCATTCATCCTTTACCTTGACTGTGTGGGATGCTGAGGCATAAAGACTGAATTCAGGGCTGGCCTGGGCTACAGAATGAGACACTTCCTCCAAAAGTCAGTCAGTCAGTAATTACGGTACAACAAACCAGAGTTTTTATAGTTAGGGCTACAAATCTGTTAACCTCAAAAGTTAATGTAGATTTGGTCACTTTGCTTTATTGACTTAAATATGGAGGCAGATATAAATGAAAACCTTGTGTGACAAGATAACCTGTTTTGTCTTATTTATTGAATTATGAAAGTGTAGCTTTAGCAGGCAGCTTTTATTTATTTATAAGAATTTGATATGCTGATACTTAGCAGGGTATATACATACACAGTGTATTCCTATGTAGTTTCTGTGTATATGCATGCACATAGCTTTCATGGCAAATCCAAGTCCCAATGCTTCCTTGATGGGTTGTGGAACCTAAGACCACCCCACTCCTTATGTCCCTGCACTGTCACCTAAACTGAAGAGGAAGCAGGGATGGTTCCTTTTAACAGCACTTGCTGCTCTCCAAGGACCTGGATTCGGTGCCCAGTGTTTATATGGTGACTCACAAGAGCTACAGTTCCAGGGGACCTGACATGCTCTCCTGGCCTCCACAGGCACTGCATGGATGTGGTGTACTCGTATGCAGGCAAAGCACTCATTCACATAATCATAAATAGATCTTAAACACAAGGGAAAATACTTCAGCAGTAATAATGAGATGGGTACATGAGATAATTGTGTTAGGACTGGAGAACCAACAGCGTCTCTTCTCATCAGTTCGTTTGTAAGCAGATCGTGGTGGGAGAAGAACACACGCATTGTGGTTGGAGTTGAGCAAAGTCATTCTGAACTCTGGTTCTGTCATTGGTCACTGTGCTATGGACCAGCTGCATAGCTCATTGCAAGAAGCAACTAAGACTCCAATTGGATGTATTTGGTGATACATGGATATAACCTAGCACTGTGGAGGGTCAGCTGAAGCTAAAGATTGTTACCGGTTCTAGTGAAACCTTGTCTTGGGGGCAAAAAGGATCATAATTCTAAGAAGCAAACAATAGTACCTGGATCTTCTGTGTTCTGTAAATACAATAAGGCCCTAAGCCACTTCCCTCAAATAGTTTATCTCTGGTTCTGACAGCCAGACACTGTATGCTGAGTGTTGAAAACTTGGGAGTTAATTTCTTGTACCATATTGTACCAATAGTTCATAATAGCTAATGGGCTAAGATTTAATAACTACTGTTGAGTTAATATTGTTGTTGATGAAACACCATTGGCCAAAAGTAGCTTGGGGAGGAAAGAGTTTATTCTTTATTTGGCTTATATATCTTGCAGGGAAGCCAAGGCAGTAGTAACTCAAACCAGTCAGGAGTCTGAAGGGAGGAGCTGGTGCAGAGGCCATGGAGGAGTGCTACTTACTGCCTTGCTCCCCATGGGTTTCTCAGCCTGCTTTCTTAGAGCTTCTAACACCACCAGCCCAGGAGTGGCACCACCTATAATGGCTGGGCACCTTCCAATCAATCACTAAGAAAATGCCCTACTGCCAGGCGGTGGTGGCTCATGCTTTTAATCCCAGCACTCTGGAGGCAGAGGCAGGCGGATCTCTGTGAGTTCGAGGCCGGGCTGGACCGATAGCCTCCAAAACAATACAGAGAAACCCTGTCTCATAAAATTAAAAAAAAAAAAAAAAAAGAAAATGCCCTACTGATTGCCTACAGCCTGATCTTTTGGAGGCATTCTCTCAATAGAGGTTCCCAGAGTTGACTCCAGCTTGTATCAAGTAGACATTAAAAACTAGCAAGTGAGCCGGGAATGGTGGCACACGCCTTTAATCCCAATAGCAATTGGTATTAATACCGAGAAGGTAAATGGTACACTTGGAGTAGCTTGTCCCCACCTCGGTTCTCTTTAAGCACTCCATTCTGTCAAACAGCAGTGAGAATGACAGCTGAGCCGTGTGTTGGCATAGCAAGGTAGTAAGTGTGGAGGTACCCACATAGGTAGGTAACAGAGGAGGACCTAGGACATAAGGGTTGGTAAAACTATTTAATTTTGCCTTTAAAATGATTAAACAAGGAAGCTTACATCTTTTCCTACAGCAGGTACACAGCCAGGAAGAATACAACCAAAGATAGTAATCTGGTGCCACTTCCTTGGCACCAGCAGTCTTACCTGTTTGCTTTTATGCCATCAGCAGACATCAGTGTGGTGAAATGGTACTGTTTTATGTTGTACTCTCCCCCTAAGTAAGTTCATTCCCTTCCCGCAGATCCTAATTATCTCATGGCTAACGAACGCATGAACCTGATGAACATGGCGAAGCTGAGCATCAAGGGCCTCATCGAATCGGCCCTGAACCTGGGACGGACCCTGGACTCTGACTATGCACCTCTCCAGCAGTTCTTCGTGGTGATGGAGCACTGCCTGAAACATGGCTTGAAAGGTGGGCCATGGCCTCAAGATGCAAATGTGCAGCCAGTCCTCAGCAATGCCTAGCTAGAAAGCAAACCTCTTCCATGGAGGCCAAAAATAAAAGCCTTGGATGAATAGTATTAATGGGCTTGGCATGGTGGCTCAACATTCACTTCCTAGCACTAAGGAGGCAGAGACAGGCAGATTTCTGTGGGTTCAGGACTAGACCATCTATAGAGTAAGTTTCATGCCAGTCAGGGCTACATAGTAAGAGACCCTGACTTTAAAAAAAAAAAAAGTGGAATACAACCTGTATAGGAGCAGAATTTTAATTGACTTAAAGGACTGATGGTACATAAAAGTACAGCTATCTTTTGATGTTAGAGTTGAGGGGGCCTTCGTAAATAAACAAATCAAGATGGCCACTCCGTCTGATGGGCAGGGAAACAGACCTGTCGAGAAATGGACTGGTTACCTGCCCGGTCACAAGTTGGGGCAGAAGCTGTAGTCAGGTTTCCTGCTCTTCTTACATAACCAGTTTTGGGTAAATCCTGGTCTAAGTCTCCTTAGTTTCCTTCCGTCTCCCTCTGCAGTGTTCCGTCTCCCATTGGGCTATTTTTTTCCACTAATACTACATGGTTTTAAGTACTAAACCATTAAATATTATTATAGGCTAGATCACACATTCTTTTTCAATTTATTTTATTTTTATGTGTATGGGTATTCTGTCTACATGTATGTTTGTGCCTGGTGCCCCCAGAAGCCAGAAGATGGCATCAGATCCCCTGGGACTGTAGTTACAGACAGTTGTGAAGTGCCGTTGCTGCTGGGAGTTGTATCCAGGTCGTCTACACGAACAGCCATCTCTCTAGCCCTGATCACAAATTCCTCTTTAAAAAAAAAAAAAAAAAAAGAAAGAAGGAGGAACTGAGTCTTGGAAGTACAGAATTTTTGTAAATTTTGTATCTATTATGAAACCATGATTTCTACATGTGTTTCAATGTATGTGGTATGCATGTATCTGGGTACACATGTGTGTGTGTGTGTGTGTGTGTGTGTGTGTGTGTGTGTGTGTGTGTGTGTGTGTGTGTGTGTGTGTGTGTGTATCAAGGCCAGAGACTGATTGTGAGTATCTTTTCTAGTCTCCATTTTTATTTACCAGTGAATGGCCTTTGGCAGTCTGGAGCTCACAGACTTGGCCAGTGTAGCTAACCAGCTTGCCCAAGGATTCCCTGTCCCAGTCCACCTCATGCTAGGATTACAGGTCAGCCACCATGCCCACCTGGCTTTTACATGGGCTTTAGGGATCCAACTCTGGTCCCACTTGTGTGGCAAACACTTTATTCACTGAACTATCTATCTCTTCGACCTGCGTGAGTAATTTTTTAAACTAATGGTCAAGGATTGGCTACCTAGAAAGAATGATGGAGAGAGGGAATTGGAGAATGTGAATACATATGCAAGCACAGATATACAAGTACCTTTATGAGTGTGTAGTAGGGGAGTATTTATGCTGTAAAGATTATTAAAATACTGTTGTGTTGTGTTTCCTTAGCCAAGAAAACTTTTCTTGGACAAAATAAATCCTTCTGGGGGCCTCTAGAGCTGGTGGAAAAGCTCGTTCCAGAAGCTGCAGAGATAACAGCAAGTGTTAAAGATCTCCCAGGACTTAAGTAAGTCTTAGGCTAAGCTTTCTTTCTCTCCTTGAAAATGGGGCTAGCGATAATGTGCACGTTTGTATAACAATTCACATTTGTAATGTTGTCACCACCAGACACTGTTAAGAAATGTGTACTCTTGAAGGATACTTACTGAAGAGAGATTGTCTTCATATTAAAATACCAGATATCACTGTTTTCTTACAAAATGCAGTTGGTTTTTTGTTTTGTTTTGGTTTTGGTTTTTCGAGACAGGGTTTCTCTGTGGCTTTGGAGGCTGTCCTGAACTCTTGTAGACCAGGCTGGTCACGAACTCACAGAGATCTGCTTGCCTCTGCCTCCTGAGTCCTGGGATTAAGGTATGCACCACCACCGCCCAGTACTTTTCTTTTCTTTTGTTTTTGTTTTTTGAGACAGGGTTTCTCTGTATTGTTTTGGAGGCTGTCGGTCCAGCCCGGCCTCGAACTCACAGAGATTCACCTGCCTCTGCCTCCTGAGTGCTGGGATTAAAGGCGTGTGCCACCACCACCACCCGGCCAAAACACAGTTGTAAATCAACAAATCTTAAGAAATTTGACCTAGGGGGATGTTATGATTGGCTTGATTTCAGGAAACAACTATATTCCATGGATTTTAGAGCCAAGATTAAGTGAGCCTCAGGAACACAGGGCCTGCCTTCAAACTTGAAAAAAATAGACATAAGCCTTGCACAGGAACTGATCTAATGTTAATTGAATGAAAGCACACAGTGCCCATGTCCCTCTGAATACCAGCTTCTTACATAATCCACTCTAAACCAAAGCTTCATCAAATAAACTGATGGGACATTTCCAGGTGGGCTGAAGAGTGTTCTACAGCACATTTATATGCTAATTCAAATGCAAGATTATTTGTCCGGAGCATCCAAGACTCACGATCCCATACGAAACTACATGTGCAAGAGCAGCTGCCCCACACTGGACCCACCCTGCTGCCTCTCCTTGGCTTCTTAGTCACTTGGTTTCTGTGCTGTTGTAGGACACCAGTTGGCAGAGGAAGAGCCTGGCTGCGTTTAGCATTAATGCAGAAGAAGCTTTCTGAGTATATGAAAGCCTTGATCAACAAGAAGGAACTTCTCAGGTATGAACACAAGTCAAACTTCCTCTGTGACCTGTTCTGCCGATATCATACAAAGTTCAGTCATAGAAACTTGCTGATTGCATAGGTCAGAAACACTCAATATGTAACAGTTTCATCAGTTCTCTGTACCACACCTCACACACTCACTTGTAGTCCCAAAGGGGTGTTTTCTGTGTTCTCTGTGATTGTGGCTATATGTGGTCCCTTATAGGGCAATTCAGAACTGTGCACACCAGAAAACCAAAGCTTATGACCCTACAGCCTGTGCATGGGCCCAGTGGAACAAAAAGTTGGCATTCATTTCCTATGTACCATTAAAAAAAATTAATGAGCAGGCTGTGGGACCTCTGACAATGGAACCAGTATTTATCCCTAGTGCACAAGTGGACCTTGGGAACCCATTCCCTATCTTTCAGCCCAGATATACGGAGGAGAGCCTAGGTTCCTCCAAATGATGTGACAGACTTTGATGATCCCCCATGGAAGACCTCACTGTCCTTGAGGAGTGGGTGGGTAGTGGGATGGGGGGTTGGAGAATGAGAGGGAGAGTGAACTGGGATTGGTATGTAGAATATGATTGTTTCTAAATTAAATAAAAAAAGATTCACATAGATAATGATTTGCCTAGGTTACATAGCAAATCACCTTCCACAAAAACAGATACAACCATAATGTTAAAAATAAAAGGCAAGGAGTGAAGGAGATGTTTGTAATAATTGTTATATAAATATATACATACTCAACAGAGAATATATTTAAAGAATTCTACTGGCAGGCATAGTGGTGAAAGCCGTTAACTCCAATACTTGGGAGACAGAGGCAGGAGGATTTCTGTGAGTTCAAGGCCAATCTGGTCTAGAATGTAAGCTCCAGGACAACATAGAAAGACTCTGTCTCAACAACAATAATAATAATTCTACAAAAGTTAAAAAAAAATACAAACATGTGAAGACAGACAGAAAATTTAAGCTTCAAGAAGGAAAAATTAGCTGTAGTGCACTCCTTTAATCCCAGCACTTGAGAATCAGAGGCAAGTAGATTTTTGTGAGTTTGAGGCCAGCCTGGTCTACAGAGGGAGTTCCAGGACAGCCAGTGAGAACCCTGTCTCAAAAAAAAAAAAAGGCAAAAAAGTGACTAGTAAACATAGAAAAAGATGTGTGACTTCACCAGCCATCATAAAAATACATATTAAAACAAGATACAATAGCAATGGAGTACAAGGTACAGAGAAAGAATTCTTATATTCTGTGTGCTGCATGTGCAGGTGCTCACGCACGCACGCGCAACACACACACACAGAGGTATATCTTGCTCTTTCAAAGTTTGCATTAGGGCTCACTCTTGTGCTATATAGATTCTGTGAATTCTGAAAGTGTGTCATTGCTCTAATGTCTTTGGGTTCTACCTACTTAGTCCGCTCTCATTCTACTCTTTAAGTACTCATCATTTTTCTGTCCCCTTGGTTTTGCCTTGAGCAGAATACCAGCTAGTTAGGATCTCAGTAACATACACTTAAGGTGTTCCATGATTTTTCATGGCTTAGGAACTCACTTTTAGTGCTAAATAATATTCCATTTCTTATGTGTTTGTTTATGAATCTTAGTTGCTTCCAAGTTTTAAATAATGCTGCTGTTGGCACCCCAAGCAGATTTTTGTGTGGATGTAGGTTTCCAGCCTCTTTGAGTGAATGCTGAGAAACATAGTTGGTAGATCATACAGTGAGTGTTTGGATAAGTGTGTTTAATCATCTGTGGGTTTTGAGAGCTTGTTTGGAGGTTCTAGCAGGGAAGTGCATCTACTCGGATACCCTTGACTGAAGACCGGTCCTCCTCTATTCGGGGAAGGACGTCCTCTTCGACCCAACGCACAGCTTCGGGAGGGATGCACATGGAGCAATGAGGGAGGAAGGCAACAGCTGCCTAGCCAGCCAGATCAGCTGAATCAACCCTGGCGATAAACGGGGTGACAGATGTCACAGCCAGATTGCCCTCACATCCCATCTGGGTTTTGAAGACTCTGCCCATTCGTAATTTTCTGGATACTTGGGGGTTTTGCTTTGCTTTCTTGTTTCTGGGATCTGTGGTGATGAAAGTCTAGGCAGCCTGTTCCAGAGAAGGGCAGGCTAAAGAAGGGGAGTTTGCTAAATAATTGCATATTCAGTGGGATACTATAAAACCAATGTAGGACTAGAGAGGTGGCTCAGAGGTTAAGAGCACTGGTTGCTCTTCCAGAGGTCCTGAGTTCAATTCCCAGCAACCATATGGTGGCTCACAACCACCTATAATGAGATCTGGTGCCCTCTGTTGGCATATATGCAGGTAGAACACCCTATACATAATTAATTAATTAATTAATTAATTAGCAAACAATGTAAACAAAATTATAGGAATTATTTTTTGAAATAGATACTTTTAAGACAGAAACTATTTTCAAATTAATGATAATGGTATAATTGCTTTTTTGTTAATTATGACATAATTGCATATATAATATTCTATACTTATTACAAATGTATATGTTTCAGAAGTTATCAAACATCTTAAGTCATTAGTAGATGGAATTAAAAGTTTCACATGTGTTTCTTTTACTTTCCTTCATTTTTTGTAATAAGAAATAAATTTTACTTGAGTTCCAAAGGAAATGACTCTTTAAAACTTAGAGATCATTACAGGCTACTTACAGTACATGTTATTTGGTGGTAACTGTATTGCTGGGATGGGGCTTGGTGGCAGAGGGCTTGCATAGCATTCAGAAAGATCAGGATTCAACCACTAGCAGAGCCTCATTTTCTAGCCATGTGTGTGTTTTTGCATTTTAAAATATTCACTCATGGGAGAAGTGTGCTTAAAATATGATTGAAGAAAATGATTTTTTAAAGAAAAGAATGTTTTAAAGAGGTGCATGGAACCATGCAGCATTGTCCCTCAGTGCACCATTGATGGGGGAGGTCCTTCTGTGTATATGTTGTCCTATTGGTTGATAAATAAAGCACTGTTGGCCAATAGGGAAGCAAGATAAGTGGGAGTAGGAGTCGAGGATGATTCTGGGAAATGTAGTCAAGAGTAGGGAGTCGCCATATGATCTCAGGAAGAGAAGATGCATGAGGCTGCATCCTCGGTAAGATAAGACCTTATAAAAATATATATTAGTAATTATGAGTTAATAATTAAGTCAGGGCCGGGCGTTGGTGGCGCACACCTTTAATCCCTGCACTTGGGAGGCAGAGGCAGGTGGATCTCTGTGAGTTCGAGGCCAGCCTGATCTACAGAGTGAGTTCCAGGACAGCCTCCAAAACAGTACAGAGAAACCCTGTCTCAAAATAAATAAATAAATAAATAATGATTAAGTCAGAGTTAGCCATTAAGAAACCATAGCAAATGGCCAACAGCTTCATAATTAATATAGTGTCTCGTGTGTTATTTGGGGGCTGAGACAGTGGCAGGACCCAGGCAGCAGGCAGGAAAGAATATACGTTATTACCATAACCACAGATCAGTCAGTGGGATCTGTATATTGGCCTCAAGCACAGTAGCTCCCAATGACACTTGCAGCCCAGCTCTCTAGTGCCTACAGGGTTTACTCTTGTGCCTGTTACCAGAAATATCTACTTATACAAGCACTCTCAGAGAAGCCATGCTCATCCGTGAGACGGGAGCTTTTCTCCTTGCCTCCTGTCTCATTGGAGTGCTGAGGTCTCACTGTGACAGTGCTCTGTGGATTTCTGTTGCAGTGAGTTCTATGAAGCCAATGCCCTCATGATGGAAGAAGAAGGAGCTATTATTGCTGGTCTCCTGGTGGGCCTGAATGTCATTGATGCCAACTTCTGCATGAAAGGAGAAGACCTGGACTCTCAGGTATAGGAAAGCTCTCCTGTAACCACCGATGGGGTCACTCTGTGTCCTGTCTCCTTACACTAACCAAGTTGGAAGACACTTTGAGCATCAGAAACAGGATTTCCTGTCATAGTGAGAAACTACTCTGCATACTTAGAGATTAAGAAAGGGAAAGCTCTGTTAGTGTGACTGGTTCTAGCTAAGCACAAAAGAGCTAGCCTGGAATAGAAAAGTTTCCCAGCTTGTGTGTATGGGCCCCAGGCTTATGCAGGTTACACATATTGTCATCCGTGTATCTCCTTCGAGTCTCTGCCCAGGTTACACTGTGAACAATTTCAACTGAGCTAGGAAACTGTTAAGTTTGGCCACTTGGGCATATGGGAGATTTGCACCACACAGATAATGTCTGATCTTTTATGTAGACCAGTGTTGTTCTTTTCCAATAGTGGGTGTCCAGGTTCGTCTTACGCACCTGTGAGAATCATGGTTTCCTATTTAGAGCACAGAAGGGTTCATGGCACACCAGGATTTAATGACAGTTGTGACCCTCTGGAGGCCCTGGAGGCCCTTAGAGGCCTTAGGTTCTGTGTTGTGGGATAGCCCTAATGGGTGGTAAGTCAGCATTGTTTCCATTTTTGTTGTGGAAATGGAGCCTCCCTAGAGGTCAATCTCGGGGAATAGGCATTAGCAGAAACTTCCTCAGCAACCCTAAACTTCAGTTACGGAACAAAATGTTCTTTCTCTTGGTTTCTAAAATACCTGGTCAGTACATTACTGTCTTCCATTTTTATTGGAGGCAGCATCTCCTTAGATAAAGTCGCTTTCTATAACTTAGTATTTCCCAAGCAAGTTTATTAGTAAATCCTTCATAGCATTAGTTGTCCTGCTTCAAGTTTCCCCTTAGTCTCAGTGTGAATAAAAAATTAGATTTTTGTCTTTTTCAAACTCTTGCCTTGGCCGTGCTTCCTTTACTCTTAGGATATGTATTAAAAGCCAGGATAGTGCCAGGCGGTGGTGGAGCACGCCTTTAATCCCAGCACTCGGGAGGCAGAGGCAAGCAGATCTCTGTGAGTTCGAGGCTAGGCTGGACCGATAGCCTCCAAAATAATACAGAGAAACTCTGTCTCGTAAAACCAAAAAAAAAAAAAAAAAAGCCTTTCTAGCTGAATATATCTTGTGGTTTTCTGGTGCTTTCCATTGCCTGATATGTACAGATAAAAAGAGTAATTAATGGGGTTATTGTGAGCAATAAAGGAGTTTGTAAATACAGTTCACTTTGATCAGGGACTTGAGTTAATTGCCCAATAATAAAGATGTTTTCACTGAGACTATTTCTCACCCCTTATATAGGAAATAATGTGATGAGTTCCATTTTACTCAGGGAAAATATGAAAGATTATATTGTGTATTTGGATTTTTGAAAGAAATAAGATGTGTTATAAAGTGGAAGACTTAAAAAATGAAGAGGCCCTCAGTGAAAAATTGAAACAGATACCGTAGTGTTAGCAGTGATCATTTAGAGCAGTGTATATGGGTATTTTAAATGGCTTTTGTTTTTCTGTGAAACAGAAACAAGGAAATAGGTGTTGTTGAATTATAACTATAATGTTTTTAGTTACTTTTTGACATTATAATGTAATCACATCATGTCTCTCTTCCCTTACCTCCCTCCAGATCCTCTAATAACTCCTTCCTTGATCTCTTGATGTTCATAGCACACCACACCCTTTTTATTTTTTGTTTTTTGTGACAGAATTTCTCTGTAACTTTGGAGACTGTCATGGAACTCGCTCTGTAGACCAGGCTGGCCTCGAACTCACAGAGATTCACGCGGCAATAGCAACCCTTTTTTAATTGGTGTGTGTGTGTGTGTGTGTGTGTGTGTGTGTGTGTGTGTGTGTGTGTGTGTGGTGGCCTGAGGTTCTTTGTGTGGGCTTGGGCCCTGCCCGTCCCTGTAATTGGTGTGTGTCTGTGTGTGTGTGTTTACGGTGTGTGTATGTGTATATGTGTGTGTGTCTGTGTGTGTGTGTGTGTATGGTGTGTGTGTGTGTGTGTGTGTGTGTGTGTGTGTGTGTGTGTGTGTGTGTGTGTGTGGTGGCCTGCAGTTCTTTGTGTGGGCTTGGGCCCTGCCCGTCCCTGTCCACTCTGTCTTCTGTTGCTGTCCTCGTTCATCTCGGGTTTAGGCAATCATGGCGGTGAGACTGTGACTCTGCATTTCTAAACTATAAAACTAAATAGAAGACCACAGTGCCGGGTGTGACTGCTGACAAAGATTGGGGAAGGTCAGAAAGTCACATCATTCAAAAGTGCAAAGTAAGCTACAGGGGTGAAAAGGCAGGAGGGACAAGGGACAAAGCCCTAAGGGTATGTGGTGACACCCACTTATTTGCAAGCTCATATTTTAAGTTACAAAACTAACTCAAAATAACTTTTATAAGTAACTTTTTAAAAGTTTTTCCTAGAGGGGCTGGAGAGATGGCTCAGTGGTTAAGAGCACTGACTGCCCTCTGGAAAGGACCCGGATTCCCAGTACCCACGTAGCAACTTACAACTGTCAGTTCCAGGGAATCTGACACCCTCATACCAATACACATAAAATAAAATAAAATTTTAAAAAAGTTTTTCCTAGAATAAAATAAAAAGTTAGTAGCAGGATGCCTGAAAAAGAGAAAGGAAATTTAAACCTTACTCTTTATGCTAAATATTCTGTTGACTATTATGAATTGTCCTCTCTTTTCTTTCTTTTTCTTCTGTTGTTGCCTTTGGTGGTGATGGTCTCTGTGTGTGTGTGTGTGTGTGTGTGTGTGTGTGTGTGAGTGTGTGTGAGTGTGTATGTGGGTATGGGTGTGTGTGTGAGTGTGTGTGTGCCTCTGTGTGTGAGTGTATGAGTGTGTGTCTGTGTGTATGGTGTGTGTGTGAATGTCTGCGTGCGTGCGTGCGTGCGTGCGTGCGTGCATGTGTGTGTGTGTGTGTATGTGTGTGTGTGTGTTGCTGGGTATGGAAGTGAGAGCTTGTACCTATTAGGGAAACACTGTGCTATTGACCATACCCTCAGCCTCTATGACTTACTTTGGTTCTTCTAATTTCTCACTTTACCATTATATTCATAGTAAAAAGTTAAATGCTCATCATAAACTTCTGGTGATTATCGTTATCATTATGTTATTTTTGATTGTTTTATATCTTGGGAATAGTATGGAATTTTCTATTAACTTCTGGAAATTCCCTCTAGGTTGGAGTTATAGATTTTTCAATGTATCTCAAAGATGGAAACAGCAGTAAAGGCAGCGAAGGGTATGTATGAAGAAACCATGTTTCTGTTTTCTTGGGTGTAGCATATTTTCCTTGGTTAGTTTACAAAAATTTTGTGTTAGATTTAGTAGAAGAATTTTGATTGTATAGTTTTAATAAAGTCTTGACAAAAATCACTGATTACTGGGCCTATGATTAAAAAGATTTTTAGGTGAATGACTTTACTGCTAGGTATCTCAGGAGCAGATATAATAAAGATATATCAGGACAGTCTAATTCTCCATATTGTGTGTTTTTGTTTTTATGATAGCCTCTTACTATACCCAGGATTGACCTATGATTCCCCATGTAAATCAGGCTGGCCTTGAACTCAGGGCTTCCCTGCTGCCTCTGCTTCTCAGCGTAGGACCCAAAGGTGTGAAATCACCACACCCAGCCAGTTTTCCACAGCCTGAAGTAGGGCTTAAAAATTTGGACAACTTGTCATTGCTGCTCCCTACCTATGTCCTACCTTTGGAGGCTGAGTTTAGATGACCAGCAATTCAAAAAAAAATAAAATAAAATAAAGAAACAAGCTAGACGTGATGGCACATGCCTTGAATCCCAACACTCAAGAGGCAGAGACTGGCAGATCTCTGTGCACCCCATGATATCAGGGCTGTATAGAGAGACCCTGTATTTAAAAAAAAAATGGACTGGGGCTGCTGAGATGGCCCAGTAGATAAGAGCACTGGCTGCTCTTCCAGAAGACCCGGGTTCCATTCCCAGCACCTACATAGTGGCTCACAGCCATCTGTAATTCCAGTTCCAGGGGCCTTGGGGGTACTTCACACACATGGGGCAGACATACACAAAGGCAAAACATGCATTCACACAAAATAACTTTTAAAATATCTTGACCCTTGTGAAAGCCTTGTTAATGTGGGTTGGTTTTCCCACTTTTAGACCACTCACTCTTCCTTGTTGATATGTCAAAATAATGATGTGTCAAGCGTGACTTCTGTTTCAGTGAGTCTGTGCCCTAGAGAATCATGCTTTAGGAAAAGCTAAGATGAAAGATGTATCTTGCCATTTCTATCACTCATCTTACTTCTGTTTCCATTATTTTTCCCTTCAGGGATGGTCAGATTACTGCAATCCTAGACCAGAAGAACTACGTAGAAGAACTTAACAGACATCTGAAGTAAAGGATGAATTTAATTCTTTCATTGGGGGATTATTGAGAGAGACAATGATCAGTGAAGACCCATTCAGTCAATATTCAGCAAATACACAAAAGCTTGTTTTTGCCAGTCACGTTGCTAAGTACTGGATAAGTTAGGTAACTTTTAGTGGAAGGCAATAACAGGTTATCATGAGATTGTGACTCTAGAGGTTAAGTAAGTATATTCAGTTAAGGATTATAAAATGTGACACATATGGTTGATACTGGCCTTGGATAAAGCCAACCATCTCTCTTATCCCCTTGCATTTCTCACTTACACACTAAACTGGTATATTAACTTTCCCTTTGCCTTCACTACCACTAATTTATCAAGTACTCACCAGGTATTTCATACTCTCCAGAATTACTTTAATATTCTTGTGTTAAAATTGGCTTGATAATTTTAGAAGAGTAATTAACATAATCATGAGTTACTATCTTTTTTGTAGCCTATAGAACCTTTGTAAGGTCTGTTATAAAAGCCGCTCCCCACCCTCTTTTATTGGGGGAAGGTAGGAGAGTAAGGGAAAGGAGAGGCGCGGGAGGGGGGGTCCCCGGCTTCAGGGTTTCACTGTGTAGTCTTGACTATGTAGACCAGGCTGGTGGCTGGCTTTGAACTTATGGAGATCACTTGCCCCTAGCCTCAAGTGCTGGGATTAAAGGTGTGTGCCACCAAGACTAGCATAAAAGCCATTCTTAATTGACTTATAATGTAGATATAAGTTTCTATAGGCACAGAGGCAGAGTTCCCTGTGCAGGTCTCTGGTCTCACCATGGAATAATTTTAAAATGGACTGGGGAGTGGAGTCAGACTCAGCAGTTATGCTCTGACTGTCCTTCCAGAGGATCAAGGTTCAATTCCCAACACCCATGTGAGGACTCACAAACACCTGTAACTCCAGTGTTTCTGAAGGCACAGGCACACACATGGTACACAGCAAAACACCCATACACGTTAAGTAAAAATAAAAAAGTACTCAGAAGGAAACTCAGGGACCATTGGAATTCAAGAGAAAACCCCAGGCAGGCAAGCCATAGATCTTGACAGCTGCTAAGCTGAAGAAGGGGGAAGTTACATCTGCAACAATATGTAAGTGAAAAGATACATCCTGAAGGCTAAGTTGTACACTCTAGGAGTTATGAAAAAGATCTGGGTCCTAACACAGTTCCTTTCCATTTTATTGAAGGATGCAGTATTGCCTGTCTTCCATAGTATGTGAGCATAGGTGCAAAAGCAGTGTTCTGTCCTATAGGGCCAACCAAGGAAGAAATGTTTACTTAAGTTGTTTTACTTAGCCTCATGGCCTACTAAGAGTCGCTCTGGGTAGCCTAGCTGTGATGGAAGGGCAATAACTAATAGCAATTACTGTCATTTATGTTCGTCTGTCCTTAGCTCAGGGCCAGGAAGGAATAGCCAACAGCCGCTGTTTCTGTCCTTCCACCTTTGGCTTCTCATTTTGGGCTAGTTTAAAGCCAAAGCCCACACCATTGGTTTATCTTTAACCCTGCAGCCTGTTTCAACCTTTAGATCTGTCACGGTGGTTATGAGCAGCTTGGGGATTTTCCACAGTAGTGCTTGATATTTGGTTCTCTGCCATGATATTATGACTTATTTGTCTCTGAGGAAGCTGGCATATTGATAAACACTATTGAAAGAACTAAATGACTGAGTACAGGGAAGCAATTGCAAGAGTAGCTGGTGTACATGTAGGCTATTGTGTCTCATACAGAGACATAATACTATATATATACACATGGTACTTGAATGTACCATGTATACATTCCCTCTTTCATTTCACTCAACAAATACAGAACATTTCCTCCGTGCCAAAGACACAGCAGTTAAGGGTGAAGCTCCTTGTATGCTGTCTCAGAGCATACAAGTCTAGCAGAAACTGTGTGCACGAAAGAAGGTATTGAGATATAGATACTTTTGAAACATCTTGTATGCATGTATGAGAAATTACAAGCCCATTCTGTACAATTAATATGATCTTGTTACTCTTGTAAAGAGTTGATATAGGCAGATAAGTATAATGGGGCTTAGGAAGGCAAGTGCAGTTTTTGTCCTGTTTTTCAAAAGAAACTTACTTTTTTTTCTTGTCTTAATAGTGCTACTGTAAACAACCTTCAGGCAAAAGTAGATGCATTAGAAAAATCCAACACTAAACTGACAGAGGAGGTAAGTGTTTTGGTCATTACTTGACCTATAAATGTAATTATATAAATCAGTGAAACCAGTTATTCCTATTACCTTGAACATGAAGGATTTGACTTTTCAAATAAGAACCTCTGTAGGAAATAACTTCTTGTCCTGACTGCTTAGTCACTCATTTCTCAGTGGGACTAGATAGACTACAGTGAGATACAAAATTCAGTAAGCATTTTGACCACTGTTGGTGTGGTCCCACTAGACAAAGACACCACCCCCAATCTCTTTTAGACAGATTTCTCGGAACACTGATGAGAGTTCCAAGCCGGGAGCTCCTGACCCCCACATCCTGTCTGCTCTTGAGCATGCCTGACACACGCAGTGCCAAGAGGGAATGCCAGTGATCCCCGACCTTCTTACTGTCATGTGCTCCTGACTAACTTGGTCACTTGACCTCTGAAAAAACCCAGTTTCCTCACTGCCAGATGGGAGTGCTTATACTTCCTCCTGCAGCTCCATAGTGACTCTGGAGATTAGGCAAGACTGTAAACAGGAAAGCGCTTAGAAGAGTCCTTAGAATAAGAGGAGGAAGTTAACCTCATGGTTGACATCTCATCGGTAGGCTAAATCTGTAGCTCCGCCTTTATTTAATAGAGTAGACGTCTGCATCAGGGTCGCAAGTGAGTGAGCCAGAGTGCAAGCTCATTTGCTGTTTTTGATCGCCCTGGCGTGTAGTGAGATAAACGTGCTTTAAAGAGATTCAGTGCACTAATCACTGCTAATTAGTGTTTCTTTAGAACATAGAGAGATGATAGTAGATAGATAGATAGATAGATAGATAGTTTGTGTCTTTGTGTGTGTGTGTGTGTGTGTGTCTTTTTTTGAAAGCTCACTATGACCTTAAACTCAAACCCTCCTGCCTTAGCCTCCTAAATGCTGAATTACCTATAAAAGGTCTTTTTGGAGAGTTCACAGTGTGACTCTCATGATAGGAGATACTTTATTCAACTGTGGTTTAGATGCCTTTCACCATCTTCTCTTCATTTGTTGTTGAGGCAGGACCTGCTCTGTGAATATGTGAGAAGCATTCTTACTGAATGTGTTTAGAATGTAGCCATGGAGGTGCTCTTGAATTAAACAGTCTTAGCATTGGGGCATATAGTAAGAAGAGGAAAATGGCTGTTGTGAAAGCCTGAGGACCTGAGTTTGGATGCTTAGTACCTGTATAAAAATTGGGCAGGGCAGCACATGTTTGTAGCCCTAGCCCTGGGAGATGGACCCAGGCAAATCCTGGGTCTCATTGGTCAGCCATTGTAAGGCAAAGCCTGAGCATCAAGCTCAGTGAGAGACCTGGTCTCAAACAGTAAGGAAGAGAACACTAGAGGGGACTCCCAGCAGGAACTTCCGACCCACACATACACACACACTCAGACATGTGCACCCATGCACACACATCCAAAATAAAAAAGCATTATCAGGTGATTTTTATTTTTGTATTACACATCGAAAGATACTTCCCCTGTGTTCCTCATTAGAACTTTATTTTTCTGGATCTCCCTTTGTAGTTGAATTTACTAGCCCCAGCTACAAAACTCTGGGATTATAGTGTGTACCCCATATCTGACTCTTGAGAATAATTTTAGTGGGTGATATAAATAGTTTCCCTTAGCTATGGATTCCTAAGAATATTTAAGTCTGAAAAATCATGCCTGAGCAGATAATACATTATTCTCTCTAATAAAAGAGTAAAAGGTTTTTGCTTTTAATTTTGGTCAACAGCTTGCTGTCGCCAATAACAGAATCATTACCTTACAAGAAGAAATGGAAAGAGTTAAAGAAGAAAGCTCCTATCTACTGGAATCCAGTCGGAAGGTAAGTCCTGAGTGGGTTTTAAGACCTTCATGGAGAGGACACTGTGTACTGTGCAAGCCACAGGGCGGCAGCCGGTCCTGGACACTGTCTCATATCAAGCATCTTCTTTCCCAGGGTACAGCTCTCAGAGGCTCGAACCCTCTGCTCTGCCACAGCTCATCATTGCTTCCGTTTGTTTAGAGACTTGTATTTACTAATTTGTACTGTGTTTAGTGGCTACAATTTTGATAATGGAGCTGGAGAGATGGCTCAGTGGTTAAGAAAGTTATTGCTGTTCCAAAGGGCCTGGGTTCAATTCTCAGCTCCCACTTGGCAGCTCATAGCTGTCTGTAACTACAGTTCTAGATGATCCAATTCCTTCCTCTGCTCTCTGGTTTCGCCAGGCACACAACTGTTCACAGGCATAAATGTAGGCAAAACATTCATATCATGAAATAATTTGTTTCATGTGATAATAAGTATACCATTATTTTTACACAGTGCTACTCTTTAAAGTGAGTAGTCATCTGTTGCCACTGGGAAAGAGTTTTCTACATAACAATACTTTCATGGACCAAGATTTTGTTTGTTGGGGTGGGGAATTATTTGTTTGAGACAGGGTTTCTCTTTGTAGCCCTGGCTGCCCTGGAACTCACTCTGTAGATCAGGCTGACCTCAAACTCAGAGATTCTCCTGCCTCTGCCTCCCGATTGCTGAGCTTGCAAATGAGCGCACAGTGTTCAACCTCCTTAGGGAGCATGATGTGATGCTTTATGCCCTGATGGTGGCATGGTACAGTAATTGTTGTAAATTATGATAGTATTGCTTTAGGGGGTATTCTAATTGATAGATCTATCAACCGTGAGGGTAGGCTTGTTTGTTTGTTTGTTCTGTGACTTCACTGGCATCTTTCCTTGCTACTGCTAGTGTTTCTAGAGGTGCAAAGGGATAAAAGCTGCTTCCTGTGTAATCAGTATTTGCTTTTATGCATGGGCATCATACAACTACAAATGCTCAGCAGAGTCTCTCTAATGGCCTACCTACTTCCTTTTAGCCACCATCTTTGGACAGCTATTTGTGAAATCCCTGGGAAAAGAATGTAGTACCATCCAAACCTCTGAACCAACTCATATTTTCCAGTGAATTGGGGTATTGGGTTGTTTTGTTTTGTTTTTCGAGACAGGGTTTCTCTGTATAGCTTTGGAGCCTATCCTAGCACTCACTCTGTAGCCCAGGTTGGCCTCGAACTCACAGAGCTCAGTCTGCCTCTGTCTCCCGAGTGCTGGGATTAAAGGCAATATTGGGGTTTTGTGTTTTACTTGTTTCTGTTTTTGATTCATTGTCCCATGTAACCCAAGCTTGTCCCGCGCTACCGTCTCGCCAGCAAGAACGACGCGGCACACTTAGGATCCTTCTGCAGAACAGCTTTAATGCGTCTTGAGAGGGAGAGCATAAGCTTACAAAGTGGAGACCCGGGGGAGCGAAAAGCCCAACCCTTATATAGCTCAGCAGTCCCCGCCTCAGACGTGTCATCTCCTGACTGGCTCCTGCTCGTCAGCCCATATGACGCCACGGGAGAGGCAGAGAGTAAGGGATGGAAAAGTAGCAGGCACATGCGCACCAAGGTTGTTTACTCCAACTGACAACGAATGTCGGCGCCATCTTGTAACGGAGAATGTGGGGGCGGCTCCCCACACAAGCTGGCCTAGAACTTGGTATATAAATAGCCAAGGATGGCTTTGAACTCCTAATCCTCCTGTTTCCACCTCCCAAGTGCCAGGTTTAAAGATCTGGGGGTCATGGTTCCCGTTTTATGAGGTGCTAGAGATTGGATGAAAGGCTTCATGCAGGCCAAGCAATCGTTCTATCGCTTGTACTATATCCCAGCCACTTATTTTGTTTGTTTTGGTAGGTAGGTGGTTGGGGTTTTTTGTTTTTGTTTTGTTTTCTCGTGGGGGGGGGGGTTGTATTTTATTTTGTTTTTGTGTTTTAGTCTGTATTCCAGGCTGGCCTCAGACTCTTAGCAGTCTTCTGGCCAGACCTCCAAGTGCTCAGACTACAAGAATTGGCAACTCCACACAGCTATGATACTATTTTTCAAGACTAATGTGGGGAGTCTCTATCACCAGTTTTGGTAACTCACTTCAACATAACCTTTTAAAAACACTCACCTTGAAATTCTTTATTGTAACTGCTAATTCGGTGTAGAGTCTTTAATCAAGTCCTTATATATATGCTCTTATTTACCTTCTCAAGGGTCCTAAGCAAGACAGGACTGCAGAGGGGCAAGCGCTGAGTGAAGCCAGAAAGCATCTAAAGGAGGAGACACAGTTACGCTTGGTAAACTTCCTTAAGTTCTAGTAGCTAGGACACATGAGAAGGCTGGGTTCTGGAGAAGCTTCAGGTGACCCAGCAAGGTCCCAACTATCAGTAATGCGCCCGTCTTCACAAACCCTATAAAACTCTTTCTCACCCCTGCCCACTCTGCCGTATCTCTAAGAATGTGGAAGTTGCAAATGAGGGATGGTTTCATTTGTACTAATAAGTTACTTCGAGTTAAGACCATGTGACAGAGGGGACTGGAGAGATGACTCCACAGTTAAGGGCACTGTCTGCTCTGCCAGAGGTCCTCAGTTCAATTCCCAGCAACCACATGGTGGCTCACAGCCATCTCTAGTGGGATCTAACGCCCTCTTCTGACAAAAAGTTGTACATGCAGACAGAGTACTCATACACATAAAGTAAATAGATCTTTAAAAAAAAGAGTACATGGCAGAAATTCAGATTTTCTGAAAATACAACCTTCTTAATGTGCTTTAAATAACTATGCATGTTTGTAAATTAGGTATTAAAATATTTTTCCATAAGAAATATTCTAGAAATAATGTCAGCATGTGCTAGCATGGTTCATTTTTATCATAACTATTTAAAGAGGGAACACATACAAAAACTGAAAGTTGTCATATGCTTGTATCATATTAAGAGTCATGAAACTAAGAGTCCAAGGTGTGCCCTGGGCACAGCCCGAATGCGGAGGAACTCCAGTTGGTATCTCTGCTCTCTTATTATTAGTAGTTACTAATGTCTCTTAAAGTAAATACCTTCTGCCAAAATACAGAGCACTAAGGGCTCGTCTACCTTTTCTTGTCAAACGTTACGGCATTTCCTTCATTGAGGAAAGAGTATGAGCAGTTATTTGCTTTGCGGCAGGACGTTGAGAAGGAGCTGGAACTCCAGATCAGCATGAGACAGGAGATGGAGCTGGCTATGAAGATGCTGGAGAAGGATGTCTGTGAGAAGCAGGATGCCCTGGTGTCTCTGCGGCAGCAACTGGATGACCTCAGGGCTCTCAAGCATGAGCTTGCCTTTAAGCTGCAGGTAGGGGAAAGACGGTGGTAGACTCTCAGAAGTCCTGGTGCTGCCCTGCAGCCCTATTGTAGGGGAAAGAGTCACATCTCCTTGTGAACTAATAGAATACTCAGACTGTCATGAGATTCTCTGCTGCAGTTCTTGAAAACCAGTGTCACTTTTCACGTAGTGAAGGGAGATTCTTTCTCTTTCTTTCCTTCTTCCTCTCTCCCTCTCTCTTTCCCTTTCCATCTCCATCTCCCTCTCTCTTGCTCTCTCCCTGCCTCCCTCGCTTCCTCCTGTGCTGGTGAGCTTTATGTCAACTTGACACAGCTAGTGTCATTCCAGAGGAGGGAACCGCAAGTGAGAAAATGCCCACACCATACTGACCCATGGGCAAAACTGTGGTCCATTTTCTTGACTGATGGTTGATGTGGGAGGGCCCAGATCACTGTGGGTGATGCCACCCTGGGCTATAATAAAGCAGGCTGAGGAAGCCAGGAGGAACTGTGCTTCATTTCCTGCCTCCAGTTCCTGCGCTGACTTCTCTTGATGATGAGCTGAGATCTGCAAGGTGAAATAAACCCTTTCTTCCCCAGCTTGCTTTTGGCCATGGTGTTCACAGTAATAGAAACCCTAACTAAGCATCAAGGCCGGGTGTCGGTGGCACATGCCTTTAATCCCAGCACTCGGGAAGCAGAGGCAGGAGGATCTCTGTGAGTTCGAGGCCAACCTGGTCTACAGAGTGAGTGCCAGGAAGCCAGGGGCTACACAGAGAAACCCTGTCTGGAAAAACCAAAAAAAAATTCTTCTTTTGAAGATTTACTTTACTTTTATGTCTGTGTGTGGATCTGTGTACATGAGTTCAGATGTCCACAGAGGCTGCAGATCCCCTAGAACTGGAACTACAGGGGTTTATGAGCTGCTAACCTGTGGGCTGGGATTCAGGTTCTCTGCAAGAAGAGTATGTGCTCTTCTTCACTGAGCCATATCACCAGCTCAAAATAAGGGTTTCTTTTTTTCAAAATACTCAATTCATTTTATTTTCTATACATGGGTGTTCTGCCTGCATGTATGTCTGTGCCCGCACCACGTGGGTGCCTGCCTGGTGCCAACAGAGGCCAGGAGAAGGTGTCAGATCCCACTGGAACCAGAGTTACAGATGGTTGTGAGCCACCATGTGGGTGCTGGGAACTGAACCCAGGTCCTCTATATGAGCAGCACGTACTCTTAAAAACAGGAGTTTCTTAATATTTTTGTGCACATATTTGTCATTGAACTTCGTTCATATTCATCCTCATGTCCCTTGCTTGTCTCACAAGTAATGTGTGTTTAAATCTAGGTTCCACGTGAGGGTCTTTTTCATCCTTCCCGTTATCCTCTTTCCTCTTGTTCCCACCACCCCCATATCTTCCTCTCTCCACCTGGTTCTCTTTCTATCTTTATATTGTATTTTCCTTCATATAGTATTTCATTGTATTTTTAAGTTATTAATATAAATATTCATGAGTGTATGGGCAACACAAATTGAACTTGGTGTGTTTTTTTGTTTGTTTGTTTGTTTTGGGGGGAGGCAGTAGGGTGAAAGTGTGGGACCTAGGAAGAATGGGAAGTGAGTGTGATCCAGAGGCATTGTGTGAAATTCCCAAATAATCAATAAAAATATTATGTTGGAAAAAAGTTGCAAAGATAATAATAATAATATAAATATTTGTGTCCTATAATTCTGCAGTTTAGCATGTCAGCTGAACTGTAAATTGCATTGGATTTTTAATGGGCAGATAAATCAGTGAGCCTCCTGATACAGTGATAAGCTTGTTAGAATAGTACCTATTTTAGCGAAACTGCTTCTTTACTTTCTTCTTCTACTTAGAAATTAATTAACTGATATGCAAATGTGAAGCCGTTCCATTTAGTTCCTGTTTGCCATTATGATTAAAATAGACATGTAATGTATATTTTTATAATTCTTTCTACCAGAGCTCAGACCTAGGAGTAAAACAGAAAAGTGAACTGAACAGTCGCCTAGAAGAGAAGACTAATCAGATGGCTGCCACCATTAAACAATTGGAGCAAAGGTAAAAGTGCTGTTTCTGTAACGACTCTTCACTGTTGGAATAGAAATGTTGCCAATGGAAAACACAGGAAATGTATGCAACCTAAATCAGATCTGTTGTAAAAGTTTATCTGTGTGTTCCACGATGTTCCTGAAACACTGTTAGCAGTGGTGTATATAATAAACAGGCCAACATGGAATGAATCTCACATTCCCACACTGCTACAGGTGCCTAGCAAGAGCTGAGAAAGGGAGAGACAGTCATCCCCAGGGATGAGCCTTCTAACTAACTGGGCATCACCCCAAGTGGTCAGTTCTGAAATCATGCTCATACAAGCAGCGCAAAATGGATTCAGCAGGCTCTGTGTGTGTGTGTGTGTGTGTGTGCGCGCGAGCGCATGTGAATAAGAAGCGACCATGAGCTTGAGAGGGAGTGAGGAGGACACAGGAGAAGCTGAGAGAGGAAGGCAACAAATTATGTAAATATATTTTAATTAAATGTTTTAAGGGTTTTTTTTAAAGATCTATATATAGTGAGTTCCAGGCTAGACAGGCGCATGAGACCCTATCTAAATAAATAGTGTTTGTAGTTGTATAGTTTTATCACTAAAGTCTTCATTTTCATTTTCATACTAGGTGAGGCAAATGTCCTCCAAGTATTGGTCATAGCTTTCTCTCTCACCTTGAACTCTAGTCTCTGTCACCCATCTGTCTTTCCCCTGATAGTTGTGTGGCATTCACTAACATCTGCAGTGTGTCCCTCCTCCTGTCTCAAGTCGGGAGCTCTCATCTTCCACTCAACCCTCCCACCAGTATTTGTGATTCTCCCCAGAGCATGTTTCTTCCTGTGTCACCCTCTCTCCTTTCGTGGGAAATCACCCCTCCCCCCATAACTCTGTAGCAATAAATGTTTGAGACCTCACAGCTCAATGCATTGTAGCACCCAAGACCACCTGCGTTTCTACCTCCAACCCTGCTCCTCACTTCTTACACTCACTAAACCATGTCGGCCATGCTTTCCACGTTTTCCATCCCTCGTTGTCCTGGTAGTTCCACCAATTATGAATGCCCCTCCCACTCCCTTCTTCAGATCCATTTTTTACATGAAGGCTCAAATGCCGCCTGACATTGGTTTCCTCTGATACCTCTCTCCAGCCAGAAATGGTACCTTATATCCACTGCTGCCCGTTCTGCCTGGCGTGTCTCACTGTGCACCTCATCTTGTGGTCTGTGTCAGTGTCTTGTCTTCTGAGTGTGAATTCCTAACAGGTAGTTAACCAAGCGTTTGAGTTCTGTCACAGAATCTGTCACAGTTCTTGAATATACGTGGCATAAGTTGATGAATGAATGAATGAATGAATGAATGAATCATCTGTCAGATGATTCTTCACCAGGGAGGGAATATCCTGAACAGCAGAGCATATTTATTGCTAATACTAAAGCTAGTTGCAAACTTCATGGACGATGCTGAAACCTTTGCCATGATTGATATTGCTGTGACTGACAGTAAAACATGAATCCATTTCTATAGCATATTCTTCAAGCGCTTGTTCAGAAACAAGGATATGTGTATGATTTACTTAACTGATGTTCCTAGGTTGTACTTTTGTAATGTTTGAAACTATTCCTCAGTGATTTTTGACTTGGCATTTAAGGCCAACAGAACTAAAATAATGACTCATCTGACTTATTTTCCTACTATCTTTGTTTCCTATTTATCCATTTTCTCATTACCCTTCCAACTCATTTTTTATTTTTATTTTATTAAGTGAAAAAGATTTGGTGAAACAGGCAAAGACCTTAAATAGTGCAGCAAATAAACTGATCCCAAAACATCATTAGACATTTTACAGTTGGTCAGCTCACAAGTCCAGTGTTACAAAATAGCTAAAAAAGGAAGAAGTCGGAAATTCCTACATTTAAGCTCTGATTCTATATAAAATGTCACCAAAAGTTGACCTTGAATTTGCTGGACTTGAAAAAAAATAGTTGGATATATAGGTTGGGTTTTGTTGTTGCTGCTGCTGTTATTTTCTCCCCCAGAGTTAGAAATTTTGGTATGGGTTCCTCATTAAACACCAAATAAACTTTGAGAAATATTTCTGAGTTGAACAATAAATCAAAAGACCATTTTCAGGAAGCCTGGGGAACGAAAGCATTGTCCATGTGTCCTTGATAGTGGTCAGACTCTGTAGGTGGCCGATGGCCTGTTCTCTACAGTGTAATTAATTCGTACAGGTGTCACCTGGTGACCTTGGACCTAAAGTAGCTCTGTCTCGTAGACCATGACCCCTCTTCTCTTGTCTGTGTAGGTTTAATCCCCAGCCCAAGGAAAGTACTTAGTATTTCATTACAGTTCCATTCTCACTAACCAAGACTGCTTGCAATTTATTTTTCCCTTAGTGATTTTGGACAAAAAAGAAAAACAGCACCCTTGCATTTCTTTAAAGTACTTAGAAACAAAGTAGTAACTAGGTAGCTCTTAACATCACAGTGTGGAAGCTGAGAAACCCCTCTCAACATGTGTCACCTTCTACCTCTGCCCTACTCTGTCATTCTACTTACTGCTTAGGTAGCTCAGAGAAAACACTTTGAATACAAATACGGTTTTCAAATCTACCCGGCTTTTCCTACGGGGATAGAGGCCTCATCATAGTCACCACTTCCGGCCTGCCGTCCTCACCTGGAACACTTGCCCAAGAGCTTCTATCACCTTTTCTGTGATGGGAATTTGCTAAAGGTTCTGGAAAAATAATCTAGTTACTAAAAAAAATCAAATGAGAAATAAATAATGTGCTGGCATTATTGCTTAGTATCAAAATAAAGATCCTCAATAGATAGTCACAAGCAATACTAGCAGGGCTTCTTTTTCTACGTGACTACACCTCTAACCCTTTCTTGGCTCTACATTGTAAATAATCCTATAAATACTTTGATTTAAAAACAAACTATTTTTGATGTGGGGAGGCAGGCTTTTCTATACATGAGCCTTTACTCCATCCAGTGGGTTAGGCACAATGCCTGGGGTTTTGTTCCATGTTTTCTGTCCCTCCTTCTGGCGTGCTATATAGCATTGCCCCTGCTAAAGAGAGGCAAAGATAATTCCTTTGCTTCAAATTTTTTACCTTCTTGGCAAACCAGAATTAAGAGTACAACAAAGTTGATGTGCTTTTATAGGTCCTCAAGGGCCTGTGTTAGAGCCAACTTAAAAGAGGATCCTTGAACTCATGTAATTCTTATAATCTTGCACCTGTATAAATAAAGCTCCTACTGTGCTCTGCTGGCCATCCACCTTTCGTGGTGACAAGGCACCTTTTACATGAGCATTGAAAAGAATAGTCACACCAGTAAAAGACTACACGCAGCATGCCTCTAAATTCTCCTATAGAAAGCCCCAAAGATCTCACCTTGTAAAACATGATTCCTTATAGGTGCAAAGTTATAAGACATTTAGAAGAAAGCATCCGTAAGAATCTTCCAGGGAATGTGGTCAGGAGTCTCCGAACCCCAGTGCTGAGTTCTTTGTGTGCTGGGTCACGTACCGCCTGGTAGCAATGGAAAGGATAGACTCAGCCAGACTTTCAGAGAGGCGTGTCCTTGTGAACTCATGTGAGGGTTGCTAGAGGTTGCCTTCAGCTTCCTGTGGTCCAGGAAAGGATCAGGAAATCATGATGACCCCACATGACAGGGCAGCTCTGCCTACATCTTCAGCTGTATGAGGAAGGCAGAAGGATGAAGTATCCGCCTATCAGGAAAGAAAGAAATGGCTTCAACATAGATGTGTACTGGAGGGTGGTTCTGGATATGGATTTTCAAAAGTGATGTCTTGTTGTTGATCATCTAATGGCTGTAAACTGTAGTACTAGAATAAAAAAATAGAAAATCAGCTTTCCCTCTGCCTGGTTCACCTTCATCTTGCTTTTCTTTAGAATTTGTTTCTTTGCCATCTTTTTCCCCATCATAATTTCTTCCTGTGTCCTGCATTTTTTTCTCCCTCTGCCTCCCCATCCCTTCTTCCTTGGGCTGCTTTATTTTGTGTTTGTGAACTTGGTCTTCCTCCCCACCATGGCTTTTGTTTTTATCACAAGTTCATGTGGCTCACATCCAGATTGCGCCAGGCTGAGCGAGGCCGCCAGTCTGCCGAGTTGGACAACCGGCTCTTCAAACAGGACTTTGGAGACAAGATCAACAGTCTGCAGCTGGAAGTGGAGGCCCTCACCAGGCAGCGGTGAACAGGGGCAGCTTGGCCAGCAGGGTGGTGGTGGGTACTGCAGAGGCTAAGCAGCAAGGAGGGGGTCGGGTCTCAAGCCACCCCGGCTTGAGCTTTCCAGAGTCCTTTACAAAGAGTACAGTTGGAACTCAGAAAGGTTCACATGGATAAACAGTTTCAAAATCCACTCAGCATCCTTGTAGTCAAATAGTGTGGAACTGGCTCCTGGCCATGGTGGTGCAGGCTTGAGGTCTCAGCCGAGACAAGAGCCCAGAGCCAGCTTGGGCTGTGCACAGTGACACTCTTGTCTTCAAAAGCTAAAATCAAAAAAAGAATTAGAGACCAAGTTCCCAAATATATAGTAACTGGTATCTAATCCAACTTCAGCGATAAGGGTTAACGTCTCCTGAATTCCTACAGTGTGTTCTATATGTTTTAAAACACTCACACACTGGTGTTCCTACTGTCTAAATATCAATCCTTTTAATAGGTGATATTATTGCCCCTACTTTTAGATAGAGTGATAGCTTAGAGAGGGGTTCAGTGTGTCCTAGTTAACACTATTAAGATACACTATCCCTTTCAAAACCTGTTTCTGACTAAACCCTAAGTACTCCTTCATGCCACCTCTCAAGTTGGACACACTTTGGTGCTAAAGCCACTGACTACACATAAAGAAGTGAGGCCTCTGTAAAACACGAAGCTATCAAGGACACTGAATGACTTGGGGATGGGATATATGTGAACTAAGTACATAATTATATAGAGACCAGCCAAATAATATGAAATAGAAATATAGTGCCTATCCTTTCACGGTGTATCTTACTAAAAACTTAAACATGCTTCTCGTTCATCCAGATAACTGCAATTCTTCATTGAGAATTAATGTACAGTAACTGACCTGCTGGAACTGGGCACTCCTAACTTGCATTCTGAATTGCCAGAGAAAGTAACATGTCATAGCATTACTAGTTTTACCATATCCTAGTATTTTAGAGCGTGGTTGTCCATAATTTCTGGTAACTTTATCAGGCATTAAAACTTAATTGCTGGGGCTGGAGAGATGGCTCAGTGGTTAAGCCACTGACTGCTCTTCCAGAGAACATGGGTTCAATTCCCAGAATCCACATGGCAGTTCACACAAATTGTCAATAACTTCAGTTCCAGGGGATCTGACACCTTCACACCAAAGCACATAAAATAAAGTTTTTTTTAAAACAAGAGCCAATAAAGGCATTTTAAAAATGTAATTGCTGGCCGGGCGTTGGTGGCGCATGCCTTTAATCCCAGCACTCGGGAGGCAGAGGCAGGTGGATCTCTGTGAGTTCGAGGCCAGCCTGGTCTACAAAGTGAGTTCCAGGACAGCCTCCAAAGCCACAGAGAAACCCTGTCTTGAAAAAACAAAACAAAAAAAATGTAATTGCTGAACTCTACGGGGAGGTCTGGCATTCTTTAGAGTGTGTGTGTGTGTATACATATATATATATATATATATATATATATATATATATATATATATTTCAGAAGTATCATCCTTTTCTTCTCTCACCTAACCAGGACTCAGCTTGAGTTAGAACTGAAGCAAGAAAAGGAGAGGAGGTCACAAAACAGGGACACCCCAGGAAAGGGGGCCCAGAAACTGGAGCCCCGCACGGTAACATGCGTTCTTATCTGCTTGCTTATCCCACCTGCACTTTATGGCTGAGCTCCATGGGTCCAGAGGGTTTTCACAGCCCACATGCTTAGTTCCTGTGGTCTACAGTATGCAGACAGAAAAGCACGCTTCTCAGAATGGAGGAAAATGCGATTCTGAGCTGACCTCTAAGATGATCATGGACTTGCTCCACTGGAAAAGAAAATAACTCTTTTCCTTTGAATTGTTTATCGTAATAAATACATGTTTCTCAGAGTCCTAACTAATACCATATAATATGATGTAACAGCCCCTCATAGCCCCAAGTTCCCCCTCAGCAGAATTTTCTCAGCTGTGGGGTTGCTTCTTGGGACTTTCTACATCATGTGGATTGCAGTGTGAATATATGCAAGGAGCTTCTTTTAGGAGAAGAAACTAGAATTACAGAAGGGAACAGCGTGTAGAATGGTCAAAGAACAAAGTAGAACTTTGTGTACAGAGTCTTGAAAGTCACTAGCACCTGCAGGGTGAGGAGCCACAATTGTACAAGATCATCTCTGGGACCAGGGACAGGGCCAGCCTCTGGAAATGATGCAGCTTAAAAAGCATGAGATATGTTTGTTGCATTCAGAGGACCAAGCGCCTTTGTGTGTATTAACACATACAACATAGGTCATGCTTCATAACTTCTAGAGAACTGACTACTAATGTGCTGTAGAGTCCAATGGTGAGTGAAAATCCGTTGTATAGTGCACAGTGCTGTTTGAAATGCGCAGCGAACCACTGTGCTCCATGCCCTTTACTGCTTTGAGTGCTTGTAAATGTGTAGGATGGAGGATGTCTCTCAATCTTGCTGTCCTTTCCCAAGAAGGCTGTAACTTTCTGTCTTGAATTGCTGGGAGGAGGGCTTCTCACAGGATAAATGCTGCACTGGCTTCTCTTGCCAGATACTAGAGTAGTCTGTTATTGGAAGCAGGTGAACTGCGGTTTGGAGCAAATGGTGGTATATATATCACCGAAGTTGATCTAGAAACCACCGAGGCTGCCTTACCAGCCCAGCCTGGGTCCATTGCCCTTCAGAGCAAAACACTCACCTGCATACAGGTTGGAGTCATTGGCAATAGGGCAGCTGCATGAGTGTCCAGAGAGTCACACATCCAGTTGGATAGGCTGTGCTGGGTTTGGCCAACTTTTCAGAGAAAAGTCAGGATAGATACTTTTCACAAAAAGCAAATAACCTTGAGCCCATTAAAGAGGCCATTTCTTTTATATCGTATTTAGTGTCCTGAATAATGCTGTTTTCTTTTGGCAGGATGGGAAGCACAGAATCAAAGAGGAAAACATTAAACTACAGAAGCCGCTGGAAGAAAGCCACAGGTGTTTGTAATGCACACTAGTGCCATAAAGTCATTTTGGGGTGGTGAGAGGGGGGCTCCCAATAGAAGGAAACTGACATCAACACAGGCCAGACATGAACTTGTGAAGTAGAAAGACAGTTAAGGGGAAAGCTAGTACATAATAAAGCAGATAACACATTAGCCAAATGACAAGAGGATTACCCTACCTGTCTCTGACTCTTCCTCCACTTAAATTACCATTTAAAAAGATTATTTCTCAACCAAGTGTAATTCCTCACACCTGTAGTCCCAGCATTGGACAAGTAAATTCAGTGCCAGCATGGGTTACACTGATATCGTCCAAAAAGAAAAAAATAGCCTTAATTGAATCAGGACCTCAAGAAAATGAAGCACTAGTATTCTTAGCTTTGTAAATAAACATTAGTATGACTTGTTTCCACTCAACTGCCAAGTTTGACATAAACACCCTCATTCCCTTCTCATTCCATTATGTCAGTGTTTTGTTTGTTTTCTGATTGTTTGTTTGTTTGAGACAAGGTTTCTCTGTAGCCCTGATCTGGAACTCACTCTTAGAACAAGCAGGCCTCAACTCACAGAGATCCACCTGCCTCTGCTTCCTGCGTGCTAGGACTAAAGGTGTGCACCACCACTCGCAGCTCCTGTCTGTTTTTTTTTTAATCCTTTATCTCTGTGACATTGCCACTTCTAGTACCTATGACAGCCAGAACTGTAACCCCTGAACACAAGAAATTTAACAGGGGACATGTAGAGACTTGGTCACCATAGGTGTTTGTTGTCTATCCTCTGCCTCTCAACTAAAGGTCACAGGAACCATGTGGCTGTGTTGCATTTTACTGGATAATGAGTGGGCTCTTTGCTAGGCTTCTGAAGGAAGAGATCAACCTGTGTGATTTGGGCTTTTATATGTGGTCTCATGACAGTCTGATTCATTTATTTCCTTAGTTTCCTAAAGCTTCCAACTTAAGAGTTTTTGAGGAAGGTAGACAAATACATGCTAGCATCCCATAATGTCAGATATAATAGAACTTCAAAAAATGGTTAATGAGCCATAAAACAAATGCTGTTTTCTAGGTAGTAAAAAGGAAAGATAATGTGTGACTCCATATATAATTTATAAATCAAAACTGTGGTGTAGCCGGGCGGTGGTAGCGCATGCCTTTAATCCCAGCACTCAGGAGGCAGAGGAAGGTGGATCTCTGTGAGTTCCAGGCCAGCCTGGTCTACCAAGCGAGTTCCAGGACAGCCTCCAAAACAATACAGAGAAACCCTGTCTCGGGGAAAAAAAAAACTGTGATGTATATCAGGAATCATATAGAGCCTAGTAAAAGATTTAACCAAATTGTCCAGAATCTTGGAGGTCAAGATTAATAATTGTTTTTCCCGAAGTGTAAAGGGAGGGCAGCATTACTTGTCTAAGAGGTATTATCCTGAGCATTTCTTGAGATGCTATAATGGAAATATAGTAAGTTGATAAAAGTTTGTTACCCTTTTTACTTCTCCTATAGGCTGCTGACTCACTCTGCAGATGAACCGGTAAGACTCCTGCTTTCAATGTCTTACACAGTCGTAAAGTGCCATGGCTACCCAACATGGGAGGAAGACAAATGGACACAGTCCTCAGTGTAGCATCTTAATAATCTTTTTTAATTTTTATTTATTTATTT